GAATCAGTTCTACATATTTTGGACAACGGTTCCCCTCGAATTCCAAAATTATTTGAGAAGGTTAACAACCCCAAATTTTTATTGAATGGGCTCCGTGAATTAGTTACAGTTTCAGCGGCCGTAACAAATCTAAGAAACGCTAAAACCCAAACCCGTACTACATCCAAGCTTCCGAGCAATTCGGTACGGATTGGTACATCATAACATGTCATCGGAAATGCTCCGAAAACTTGTTCTCTGTCCGAAATGAGATTTCCCGCTTGCAACGATACTTTTGGGGTGCCCAAGTTCTCTCTGAAAAACCGAATCGTCTCGAACAAGTCTTAAATATTTTTTGTGGGAAGAGTAACCCCCACAGGATACATGATTCTATCACGTTCCCTGAATTCCTGGCTGGTGGGATTCTTCACAAAGATTGTAAAAATGTTTCACAACGACCCCCTCCAAAAATATGGTTTCCTTCTCTCCGTCAATTCTCCAGCATCCCTCTGGATCAGGCCGGAATGCACATGTCGTTTATGCTCGAATCGATAAAACCATCCCGTGTCATATCCTGTCACCAAGTACGGCCTCGTCAAGACGCTTTAAACGTTCTACTCAGTCCCTTCGACCTTTCCGGCTGGATTTTAATCATAACAAGTTTCTCCGTAACGGCGGGATTGTTTGCCTTAATTTCACAGAAGGCTACCAGTACCTCGATTTTTTTCATGTATCGGGTTTGCCTGGAAAATTCGGACGAACTTAAATTTGAAGGTAAACATAACACCAGTTTTAGAATGATCGTTACCGTTTGGCTACTTTTTATCGGGACCGTGCTAACCAACTGGTATAAGTCGGCCTTTACAATGGATATGATACTACCCACGAAGTACACAAAACCATGGCACGGTATCACTGATCTTACCGATTTTAAGTTCATTATGCCTCTTTTTGATGGACCCTACGACGGATTTGAGGATAACAGTTCAACCAAAAGATGGGACTTAACCACATTCTACCATCCTTTAGAAGGAAAACTGGGTTTGCTTGCAGACTATCATGGGAATTCGAGCAGACTCGTCGGTTACAAAAAATTCGCGTTAGATCTCATGCGAGGCATTCCGAACATGTGGTTTCCTGATATGGATGAAGGTTTGATACGGGTTAGGCCCATTTCGTACCAGGAGTCCGATACTTTCTTGAGAAACATGTCGAATTGTGGAAAACTGGGGTATATCGATACTCAGGAAAGCATTGAGGCTATTCTGCCCTTCATGAACGACAATGTTAACCTTGCCGTATTCTTGAAGACGGAGGACGGACCTTTTACCCAAACATGGGGATGGCTTAGTGTAAAAGTTAGGGAAAACGACCCCTTCAAAAAGCTTGGCGTAATGCAATCGTCAGGAATTTATAAACATTGGGTTGATTGGTTTAAGATTGTAAGACCGAAAAAATTGTTTCATCACTATAAGGAGTGGAAGTCGCCAGTAGTTGAACGGGAGGCCAGGCCGGATTTGAACTCTAAAATTTTACTCGGATTCTATGTCTGGGCTGGTAGTGTAATAATTTCCGTTTTTATCATATTAACAGAAGTTATTGTTATGTGGTGTTAGAAGTTATTGTTACAATATTTTTGCAACGATATTCACTGTTTTTTTGTCATATTCGCATGATTTATATTGTATTAGTATACATAATTATTTGTGTGGTTGTTCTATTTAATGACTTTATCGTTAAATGGGATTGCTGATTGAGAAATTCTGAAGTTCGATTTAAATTGTTCTCTGAAATAATTTTTTCAACTATATCATTTGTTCCGATTTCCAACATAGTTTGAAAGTAAATATTACGTCACATTAACTTTGGGTTCCATACATAATTTATCGCTGGTCCCTGTTTATGGTGTCAAAGTCGCCATACAAAATTAGGGAACTGAGAGATCTGAAAAACCAATTATTTCCGTCGTATAATGGGTTGCGCATGGTTTGCATTCGCATTGTAAGAAGCTAAATTACATAAATAAAAACTACTAACAATAAAGTTTGATTGGATGAAGCAGGAAAGCTTTAAACAAATAAATGCAATAATATTATTTAAATATTGATATACTAATTACAATCAGGAAATTCAGAATTATTTACCATTGATTGTAAATAAGATAATAATAATCAATAAAGTCGTATAAATTTTATGTTACAAGAGTATAAGTAGTTTTACATTTACGGATAAAGTAGTGGTTGCATTTCACGGGACTCGTACTATGTACCTAGTGCAATTAGTAATTTACTACACACACGGCATTACTTGCATACAGATATGCATACATAGATCTGTAGATTAAAAACCTGAGGCGTAGCTTTAAATTAAACACCAGGTAATTCCACCAAACGTGCATAAGCCTACCTAAACCACTCACAATTCCAGCTATTTTAAACCTTAAACCTATTCCATATTCAATATTGAAGCTCAAAAATGTGACAATTATGCACACGAGATACAATTGAAATGCCACCAATAAATTCTGAAATGTCCCAATCTCCGTACTTGTAATAATCGGATGACTCCTAGCGTTCCGTTCATCCACAAACCTCCAAAGATTTTCGTACAACGTAAATATCCCGTTGGAACTTAGTGCTTGCAAAACCGCCAGTAATTGACGCCCACCAAAGTATCGGAATTCCCAGACAACGTTTCGCTTGTAAAATATCTCCTTCACAATGTTGCATGTGACGTTCGGGTAATTCGATTTAAGAAAATATAGCACATAGAGGGGTCGCCCTGGGAAGTGTGGATGGGGAATTTCGACCTCAAAATGGTCAAAAAATGATTTTACAAATCTCAAATTTTGATACAATATGTTAAATACATTTGACGTTATACATCCGCGAACAAAGGAGACTTTAATCCATTATCTACTTCGTATTTAGGTTTTTTAGTCGCGTCCGCCAATAATACTTTTCCCGAAGATTTTGCAACTTCATTTTTAATTTTTTCCTACCGGAACCGAAATTTTCTTAAAATATCGACTATTTCACAAAGCAGGGAGTATTACTTCTTAAATAATGTCCAAAATGTTTCAATGGGACGAAGATAAGGGACATTTGGAGGGTTTTCATTTTCCAAAATCAAACTGCCATTTAATCACCATGCATTTTGACGCCAGCCAAATCGCAAATTTCATGAGAAATTTTTAACAACATTTTAATTTCTCTTCGGTATTCACTTGAGAGATATATTTGCCATGAAAAAATTCCCTTTCCGGAGTTTCTGGCACATTTTTAAGCACGTAGGACATTGTCAGTGACCAATTTTTTTGGTGAGATTTTGTTGTAAACCTAGGGACGTCTTGCGTTTACCATTTTTTCCCGATTTTCTGTATGTTTTGGGGCAGATATTTTTGCATACACTTTGACCCACAAGTTATGGGCTTTAATAAGATACAAGTAGTTTGTATTAATCTTGGAGCGACATTTTCCGAAAATAAATTCAATCGTTTTTAACTTTCAAGGGGTCGTTATGAAGGTTTTTTCTCATGGTACGTATTTGAGGTAGACATTTTCGGATTCTCCATACTTTTTTATGTAAGTCTTAATTTTTTCACGGCCACCACATTCTCCATACAAATTTAGTCAAGCCTTCTTCGAGTCTCCGTCCCGCAGATTTTGGTACTTACAAAAAATTCGTTTCCCGACTTCTTTGCTTTAAATTGGCGTAGGAAATTTTTCTTCCCAGCAAAACTTCCGAAATTTTTGAGGCATGGAGCTAGATACGTTTACAATATTATACGAAAAAAACAGATCTCTAAAATTATTTCGTTCTACCCTGCTACTAATTACAATCTGATCAACACTTCCCGGGACGACCCCTCTATGTCTCGAATTATTCTGGGCCGAATGTCCATGAACAAGGGCCGATTGTGGCGCAGGTTGACGTAAAGTCTCGTAGAATCTGTGCATGCACACTTAAGCTACGTATTTTTGTTTGGTTTGTGTTTGTTCGAACAACACAAAATACCAACCTAGAAATTTAGAACAACAATAACAGCGATTAAAAATTCAATATCCAGAGAACGGTTTAACTAATATTTTAAGCTTTCCATTGCAATAACATAAGGAACATACCTAAAGAAATTTTGGCATGACCACGTGGCGATAATGGTTCGGAGTAATCCGGGCTTGGGGTACGTACTCGCGTGCTCCGGAGGCCGGAGTACGCGACTTTTGTTTGAGTAAGGAGTACGCGGAGGCCGGTGTACGCATTGTTGGCCGGAGTACGGAGTACGAAAAATATCCGATCGATGTTCCCGACCTCCTCGCTTTGAAATGGTGTAGGAAATTTATTTGTCAAGGTAAACTTATGAAACTTTTGGGACATATGGTCAGATATATGTAAGTACTTGACATATTATGCCAAAATTTGAGATTTTTATAATCATGTTTTGACCATTGTTAGGTCAAAGTTACCCATCGCCACTGTATAGTACGGGATCTCTAAATGATGCATTAATCCTAAGTTAAATATATGCATTTACTTTGTTTAAAACATACATATTTATTTTTATAAATGTTTAACCAAACTGAAAGTCTCTGTTTAGCGTAATGATTTTGAACAACTCTGGCAGATCATGTTATGTACACTTGATACATAGTTTCTTAGGTGCCATCGAATACAAATATATTTTTAGGCCTTTTAAGATGGGCTTATAGATTTGTCAAGATGTCTGTCTGTCCGCCCGTCTGTCCATCCGTCTGTAGGCACGATAACTCTTTAAACAAAAGCTATCGACTTGAAATTTTGCGTGCTTCATCTTCGGGTGAAAGTTAGGATGGGTTCGGAGATGGGCATGATCGGTCAAGGCCGGTGGGGGTCATTTCCACCCACACATGTTGCCATTGAGTACCAAGATTTAATTACTGCAACCTTAAGAAGCCCCACAAAGTTGCTTGGAGTAAGTTTTACATCTATTTTAAAGAAGTATGCAGGTGAAATATCGCAAACTAGTCAAAGTTTGATGCGGCAACTTTTAAATTCAATATGATCGTTTTATTAATTGAATAGGTAATTCGTAAATAAAAGATTTCTCAGAAAAACGTGAGGATTTGTTAATAATAATAACCTGTGACTTGCTACACCAAATATGTAAGTGAGCAATTAAGAATTATTTGAATTATAAATAGTTATCCTAACAACTGACCATCGATTCAACTCATTTATTCTGTAATGGTTTCGCATTTTTATTGCGAAACCTCCCGGAACTTGCAATCCGTCGTCTTAACTTCTGTTTTGGAGACTAACTTCTCTGCACGACAATTTATTAACTTAACGTTTACAACGTCTTCACCAACTTGGATGACTTCCCCACCGTCAACATTAGTGAGGGTGACATCTCGCCTTTTCAGCCGTATAGGTCCACACCCACTGTTATTCACGGTGGTATTCAACGACTCAATTTCCAAGCCCCAATCACCCTTCTCCCTCAAGTAGCCGGAACAAGTTAGGTTTTCAATCGTCGTGTCATGCGCATTCTTGTACAGTTTAACCCCGCTAAACCTCTCCTTACCACTGTTCTTATCTAGCTTGATGTTGCCAAATTTGTTGCTGGAGCCAAGAACCTCAATTCCATTTTTGGCATTGGAACAAGTCACGTTTGAAACGGTGCTGTTGTCAGAGTAAACGTAGATCCCGTGGGATGTTATATTCTCTAATTTTATCTTATTAACAACGCTATTTCCCCCGCTTATCTGGATTCCAATATCTGAATAATCGGAAATGGTCAAATTCTCAAGTTTGTTCTCAACCCCTTCCGACCTAACACCGTAACTACTTCCTCCGCTCAATTCTACATCCTGCACCGTATTTCTCGACCCCTTCAAAAAAATCCCTGTCGTCCCCTCATTTCCTACTACTTTAATTCCCGAGATGGAACAATTGTCACTAGAAATTTCCAAGCATGCAGCTGACCGACCAATCTGCCCTTTGATGACGGGCTTTCCTCCTCTCCCCTCTAACACAAAAATCCGCACGTTGTCCTTTTCCAGCACAAAGTTACCCTCGTACACAACATCCACCAATTGAATAACTCCACCTGCCGTTACGTGGTCTAAGCAATACTGGAATTCATCCACATTTTGGGCAACCTGCCAGTTCCCAATTATTCGTAATGCTTGTTCAAAATTCATGCTCTTATTCACCACCAGGCCAACAACTAATTCTCTGACTTTCGGCATGACTTTGTTGTCATTTACCAAATTCTCATCCCTCCCATTAACCAGCCTATCGAACAAATTCTTCCGCTCGACAAATTTCAGTAGTTGCACAGTTTCCCAAATTATTAAGCCAAGCGAGAAGAGGTCGTCTTGTGGGGTGTACGTCCTCGATAAGGACCCTGGTGCCGTATAGTCCAAATTTATGGTATGCTTGGTTGTTTGTGACTTCGATGGACGAATCGGGGGTAAGGCGGGGAACCCAAAATCACCCAGTTTCATGGGAAGCTTAAAACCTGGCGGGGAACAAAAAATAGTAGCTCGATAACTCAAACATATAATATACTAGCACATAAGCCCGTCTCCCGCCGGGCGAGCGAGCAGTATAAGCTGGAAATGTCTCTCGGCAAAGGAAGCGAAAGTAAGAAAGTCAAGTTACTAATAGCGCGAAAATTCAAATAAATTAAATGTCTGACGCCCCATTGTTAAATGTCCCAAGGTAACCACCCCAGGATTCGAAACTTGGCTTTCACCTCCGTTGCAGAATATTTTCTCTCACTTCCGTTGCCGACAGACATTTCCAGCTTATAATATAAGAAGATGTATTTGAATACCTGCTTCAGAAAATAAGATATTTTTCGGCTTCAAATTACGATGCAGGATTTTCTGCTCATGCAAATACTTCAACCCGTTGCTCACGTCTAGGCAGACTTGAACTTGAGTGAATTCAACCCGTCGATCAATCCGTTCCGGCACCTGGTTCACCCATTGTTGCAAATTTTCCCCGTAAAGGTCCATCACCATGGTGATCCCTGCAATTCTTTTAGCATTTTTGGCTTCCACGACATACCATAATTTTGAGCTCTGATCCTCACTCGAGAAACGTTTCATTAGGTGTGCCACCTCCGTCGCGGTGAACTGTTTCCCTGCGAGGTGCTGTCTTTCGACAAGGTTTGGATGGGAGAGAGACGTCAACTTGTTAAACTCTTGGAGGATTCCTTCGTGTTCATTGACCTTTAGGGTGTCACTCAAAAAGAGGAATTTAGTTGCCACTTGCTTCATAATTTTTGGATTATGTACGGTGGGATATACTGTTTTCGCCACGACGCCGTAGCTCCCATAACCGATGAGGGAATGGTTCTTGAGGGAGGCTAGGAAATGTGGATCTGGGGTGCCTTCCATCTTTTTTGAGAGAAGTTTACCTAGCATTTTTTTGCTGGAGAAAAGCCCGATGGGACAAAATGGACAAAAAATAGGCAAAGCTATGGCCAAGGTTGGGACCAGAATGGAAGGTTTCCTGTCTGGATGCAGTATTTGTTTCTAATTTTCTCTTATCTTGAGTTCCATAAGCAACATTAATCATTTTTGTTGTTTAAATCGGAGGACATATTGATTGTGGGATTTTTTATTATCTTGCAAGCTTTCGAATATACATACATATGTAGAGTAATTCTTCATCAGACAAGCATGGCCGATAAACTAAAAATCATGTCAAGCCTAAATTCAGTTCAATTAATCGATTAACATTAATCATTTGCCGGCAGTGACAAGGAAACGCTTATCAGAGAGATGAATAAAATTACGTATACCTCCATACAAACATAAGCGTATGTACAATTGGCATTTATCGGTTTGTAAATTATGAAGTCATCTAATGACATCTTATGTACAGTATCCCACATAATTGCAGATGCAGTGTACGCACGCAGTATATACATAAATCACAAATACATACTTCTTACCTTGCTAATATTTCAAATTTATTTTTAGCCCAATTATTTACCATATTTCATACCACTTCGTGCAAACTTTCAAACGAACTGGGTTAAAACTGGTATATTGATGGATATTTAAATGTCAAAAAGTTGTAAATCGAACACTACAAAATTGTAAATGCAACAGAGTTTAATTAATTACGATGCCCAATCTTTCAGTCTGGATACACATTTTATTTGGGAATGCTTATTCCGGGTAGATAGATAGATAGATAGAGAGTTTATTTCAGATTGATTTGGCGTCAGCCTTTACAATCACAAGATAATTATTTTAAAGATATAATAATTATGATGATGTGTCTTGGTCTGATTTTTTAGGGTGTAGTTAGAATCTAGTACATAAATTAGCCTATATTAAATCTAAGTTAGCCTAGTTTAACCCATAAATTTAAATATCAATATTCCAACTAATTTATGACAACAGAAAATGAGAGTAGTGGTCCACAACCCGATTGGGCTTTTATGGGACACCCCGAAGCGTCGGGCGGGCGAACCAAGGGAAACCCACCAGAAGAGAGGGGAGGATCGACCTAAGCGTCACTACGTAATAGACAGGTGGAATCGATGCTCAGCAAAGTTGTCATAAAAATATTGAATGGACAATTTATGTAGCTGCATGTATAACTTTTTGGCGTTTAAATATGTATATATCCATAAATTTATCACTCTTGGCCAAATCCATTTCAAATTTTGGACGATTATAGAATGAAGTATTGTTAATAAATGGACTAAAAATAATTTGAAAGTATTAACCCGTTATATAGTATTGGTACATAAGTCATATGCTGCATGAATGCATTGCATCTACAGGGTGGCCCTCAGTAACTGTAAGTGAAATGAAGCGCTGTAGCATCAACGGTTTTTGTGCTGCACATTTCTAGTTAATTTTAATGGAAAGCCAGTTAATTTCTGAGTAGAAAACAATTTTTAGTTTTCAGAATTTACTCCCCCTCCATTAATGCAGCGCTGAAGATGTCGCCTCCAGTCCTCGACTGGAGCACACGCTGAATCCATGGACAAATTGTATCATTTCAGGGTCAAATAATTTTTTAAAGCCGCGACACTTCTACGAGGTTTAGAACACACATTCGCCCCTAACTTTGACCGTTTTTCATAGTCCAGAGATTCAAATCCAACAAGGAGGACGACAATTCCCCAGCGGAAATAAAGTTCGGAATTTGGTTTATAGCGTCCCTTGGCTCATTTTTTGGAATATGTAGTGGTACTGTGTCCTATAGCGAGGTCCATTCGACTCCATTGACTTGGATCTCATTTAGTAGATGTACCACGGACTCAAAAACATATTTCAAGAATTTTTTATCTTTGACCTTCCTCCCCGTATCAACAAAATGTGGAGAAATTACCCCTAATCAGCGCTCACCTACAAAAACCATTGCAAAACATGGATAACGGGACCTTTTGACCTTTTTTTCATATTGAGGGATATCTGTGGCCTATTTTGCATGGACGAAGTCATTTTGTTGGGTTAAAAAAATTCTTTACAATAAAAATCTGCTCATCTGCAACAATAATTATTTTTTCTATTTTTTAGCGTACCGCTTAAAGAGAGCCCTGCATTTCTTTAACCTGGTTTTCTTTTGGGGGATGGTAAGCATGCGGCAAGTGCTACGTTCCAAAGCCTTAAGTTCAAGGTTCAGTTTGAGCACTCGTTGAATATGGTGCATCGACAATGTCAGCTGTGAGGCTATTTTCCGTTGGAATTTCGTAGATTCCTCCTGATTTCGGCTTTCAGCGCCTTCAGCATGGGTATCGTCCTTGTAGGTTTTCAAAAAATTCTTACTTCGACTGTTCTTAGTAGCCCAGGTCCAGATGAATGTTTTTATGGTTCGTTGGACTAAATTAAAGACCACGTTCGATTCCTGTCAAACTTTTCATATTCACCATTTTTCTTGCCATTTTTTAAGTGAAAAATTATCACCACCCGCGTCATTTCAAGATTTTCCCTGCTGATATGCTTTCTAATCAGTTAAAAACCGTGGTTTTCCCGTTATGAGCTACTTACAGCTAGCATCAGCCCACTGGGTATAACATATTTAGTACAATAGTGGGATACTGTAGGTGTAGGATCATGTTTTTGCTAAAATGCTCGCGTAATGACAGAAATTAATTTGAGAGTCGAGAAATAGTTCGAGTGCAAAAACCAATTTGGTATGACAAACACGTCGAATTGTGTAATTAGAGATAAGATATCAGTATCGATTTACATATTTCATAATTGCGTATAAGGAATTATGTTTTATGTATTTATCTAATTCTAACTCGAGTTACTCTCAAACCCCTCAAATCATAGGGCTCGCCGAATTAATCTGGCATCAGTTCTTGTGTAGTAACTTACAAAAAATCCACCTCTCGATTCTTCTTAACTAACAATGAAGGTCTCCCAACGTATGCTAACATATTTAGACCTAATTAGTGTCAATCGATCACAAATATTCAAATATAGGAAATTTTCAAATCGAGCTAAGGAAAATGGAAAAAGGTGCAGAAAATTTTGAAAATGAAAAAGTTGCATTTTATACACTTTTTATACAACTACATATCTGCGCTAAACTTGAACATGGGCAGATGGTGGCATTTGCAAATTTCATACTAATTATATTTGTGAACGATTGACACTAGTTTGATCCAAATCCGTGAGCATACGTTGGGAGACCTCCATTCTAAGTTTTATACTTGGTCAGCCCAAAACTGGTTTGACTCCATGGCCCGCTACTACACCCCACGAAAGCTTTCGAGGATATTATGCAGAAATTTAGGCATAAAATAAATGATGCCACGTTTCCTTAAATGAAGCCACACTTTCTTAATTGATCAAGATAAACCAAGAAAAAATGTTTTGTTGCCATGTCACATAATTTATAGACGTCCCATTAGTATCATTATTATGTATCTGTATTGACGTCACTAGTGTGTTGTGCAACGACTGCAAATATTGCGCAAGTTCATATGTATTGACGAATGAGATAATCGATTCATCATTTTCATATAACCACCTGAACCCGGAATGATTTACGTATGGAGAGGTGATAAATTGCACATGTGATAAGTTTAATAAGACAAATTGTAATTGCATATTTATTATACATCTAGTTAAAATATGTCTACAAATAAGGGGGGGCAGGCCCTGTTCAACCCAGATTATTTTTTGAATAGGTTGCGCAGGGTTTGAGTGTAAGAAGGTAAATTACATGAATGAATACTGCTAACCATAAAGTCTGATTGGATAAAGCAGAAAAGTTTGATACAAATAAATGCATAAATGTTATTTCAATAATGTTATAATATTGATCCATTACATCGGCATCAGAGGACATTTTAACTTGAAGTATTTATTGTTGCAAGCTTTCGATATTCATAATGTTATAATAATTACAATCAGAAATTCTGATTCAGAATTATTCACCACTGATTGTAAATTAATAGATATTAATAATTCTCAATAAAGTCGTATAAATGTCATGTTACACGAGTATTAATATTTTGACATTTACGGACAAAGTAGTTATTGCGTCCCATGGGACCAATTACAATTAGTCATTTACTATACGTACGTCAGATAATTAATCAAGTCAAAAAACCTAAGGTGTAGCTTTGAATTAAGCATGAGGTAATTCCACCAAATGTACACCAGCCTACCTAAACCACTCACAATTCCAGCTATTTTAAACCTTAAACTTATTCCATATTCAATACTGAAGCAAAAGCATGTGGCAGCTATGCACACGAGATACAGTTGAAATGCCACCAATAAATTCTGAAATGTCCCAATCTCCGTACTTGTAATAATCGGATGACGTCTAGCGTTCCGCTCGTCCACGAACCTCCAAAGATTTTCGTACAACGTAAATATTCCGTTGGAACTCAGCGCTTGCAAAACTGCCAGTAATTGACGCCCCCCAAAGTATCGGAATTCCCAGACAACGTTTCTCTTGTAAAATATCTCCTTCACAATGTTGCATGTGACGTTCGGGTAATTCGATTTAAGAAAATATAACACGGCCTGAACATGAGCTGAATTTGGTTCGAAAGCAATGTCGTCAGCGAATATGGCGGCAGCAGTGAATTCGTAGAATAAAGTGAGATTTGGCGAAAGTCCTGAAAAGAGAACATACTTATAAATTTAATTCCGGTTCAAATCTTCAGAGAATTTTGTAGTTTACTTTGTTTGACTAGATGCCGGTTGCCATCCAGTCGTCGAAGCGACATTCTAAACATTTCGACGTCTCGGTTATGATGCGCCGAGTGAAACTTAAACCCGAAATCGTTAAAGATCTCGGAAATTGTGGTAATCACGTATTTTTCCAAGGGTTCTGTTAACTCACAGGTTATGCAAGCATCATACCATGAACTAAGGATTGTAGCTCCAAGAATTGCCAGAACGGCGGCAAAAGACTTTTTCCTGAAAATATATTTACACACGAACTTTACTATTTAAATTAGATTTGGTAAGTTCATCATCTTGTAATAGAAATTAA